ATCCCACCATTCTGGCTTATGTGCGAAGGCAGGATTGGTAACTCCTGCGATGAAGCCTGGGACCTTAAGGAGGTCGTCGATCTTGGTCAAGTCGGTGTAGGGGAAAGCATAGCGGACGAAACCCCGAAGCAGACCGCCAGAAGCTAATGCGGATGCTGCTAGGACCGCTTCTGCAACTTCGCTTGAGGGTCGATTGTGGCCGAGGAAGATGATTCGCTTCTGCGTGAGCAGTGCATTGACAAGCACTATGATAGGATGCGTGTATGCTCCGCTTGTTGTAAGATGTGGGTGTAGAGCAAAGGGCTGTGGTTGCGTAGTATGTGGTGCGGAGAAGGTCTGAATGAGTTTGATGAGCGAGAAATCTCCAACCGTCTCCGGGCTCAGAGCTGTTGGGACTTTGATCGGTACCGGAATACCGTTGTAGTTGACCTTTGATTCAAACTCATGGGTATCTCGTGGTGGGGCATAGCTCTTCTTCCTGAGCTCTGAACCCGGTGCTTCTTCTGAAGGTAATGAGTCTCGTTCAGCATCGTCCTTCTTCCGTTGCCGGATCATTTGGTCGAACTTCTCGATGAACATATCTTTTGAGTCGCTGGCTTGCAGTACGAACTGCTCCATGGACGAGAGCTTAGGCAGCAGCGACAGATCCATTGCGTTGAGGGCATTGTAGAGAGAAGCTAGAGTTTCGAGGACTGGAGCGCGAAAGTATTCTTCGAGTGCCAGCAACAGCAGAGGCTGGATGCGTCAGAAGGAACATCAGAGTCAAAGCATATTGCGTACCTTGTAGATGTGCAAGAAGGAATGTCTCGTGCATATTGCCATTGCCTTGACTATTGCACCTCTGTATTACGTCAGCAAAGGGACAAAGAGGGTGGCTAGCGGCATGTTCACCTTTTGACTGTGTTGTCCTGCTTCGTATTGACAAGATTCAACACGTATATTAGCGGCGGTCCGTCGGCCTCCGTATCTCCGTCGCTCTCTTCTGTCGATTCGTCGTCAGTGCTCTCATCGCCATCCTCCTCCTTCTCGTCCTCGTCCTCGTCTGCGCCAGCAGTGGTATCGTCATCGTCCTCGTCGTCTTCCAGACCCTCCTTCCGCCGCCTACGTTTCCTTCTTCGTTCTCTTCTTGCCTCCCTCTCCTCGTCCTCGGCTGTCGTATCCTTGTGTAGGAAGAAGATGGTCCAGTCCTGACTGCGAACGTGGGCTTGGTCCGGCAACATGAGCTCCGCCAGCATAGTCTCATCGCCACTAATAGGCCCAGGATATTGGTGCTCCATGACCGACCCGCGGTCAATGTCGAATGATGCTACAAGTATGTATTCTACATGGTTCTCGACCGAATCGGCGGGGTATTGCGACCGGACTTTCCCTCCAAGCTTCGACTTGCCAGGCCGGGGCGACAGCGACGAGTTACGCGGCGACGAATCGAGGGAGCCGTCGTCTTCTCTGAGCATCGGCGGCTGCGGCGACCGAGCCTTCTTGTCATTGCGGAAGGATATCGAGGAGGTCGATCTCGAGGGCGGAAAGGAGGAGAAGGACGGCTGTCGCTGGAGGCCGGGCTGGGGAGTGCCGCCGTTCGTGCGTGCTGCCATCACTTCGGTAGAGGCCATGAATGTCTCCATGGCGAGGTCTCGCGCACATGCATGCTCTTGTAGGGGACCCTCCTGCTGCAAGCGCTAGGCCGGAACGACTCCGCAGTGGGCTCCGAAACCCAAAGTTTCAAAAGCGGTGTGGGCGATCGGCGTTTCGTGTGGGCGATGCGTCGAGCTGGCGAGTCAGAAGTTGTATGTGAGTTCCAGTTGCGGCAGGCCAACCGCAGTATTCAATTTCCCCTGACCGTCATCACGGCAGGTGTGCGGCGAGACTGAAGCACCCCTCGCTCCGGCGTGAACTGTGGAGGGGACTTTCTAGGGTCCATCTAGAGCTAATGCAGACTAGGCTCCCGAGAGCAGATAAGCGATTCAGTTGGTGCGTTATCGTTGCCCGGAGCTACCGCCAAGCAAGCCAAACATCAACACCATCGTCGAGCTTCCGGCGCGTCAAAGAAGTCATCTTCCGTCCTCTCGCCCCTCCTAAATCCTGTTCACAATGGTATGAGGAGTATCGCAATCTCGTCCTATCCTGCGCTGACCAGAAACAGTCAACGACACCAACACCCTACAAGCCCTCGCCGCTGTCGTTCAACAGCCCCCGCACCTCTCCCTTCCGCCGACCCACCTCGCCCTTGACGCACTCTCCCTCTACTGTCCGACCGTCGACACCGAGCAGCTCGCCATTGAAACCTAGAGACACTCCGACGCCATCACAAGCTTCCCTGCGACAGTCGACAGCAAGCAACGCGTCGCAGAACCCACCAGCATGGCTAAACACTCGAGGCACAACGACTGCCGCTGAGCCGCCGACATCGCCCACACGCCATGTCTCGACATCAACACAAGGAACAGTGCGACCGTCAAATACAGCTTCAATAGCCGCACGCTTTGACGGTCCAAGCTCGCATACATCGCCTCTGCCCTCGCCTGCGCCAGCTGCGATTCCAGCTCCTCTGTCAATCTCACGACCAGCGCCCCTAGCACGGACTAGTTCCACCGACGCTCTCTCGAAGATACCAGCGCCTCTCCTACACAGCATGCGCGAGTCGTTCAGCGTGTTGGATAGGGACAACAACGGCTCTGTCAACAGCTCTGATGTAGCAGACATGCTGTCTCAGCTCGGTCTTACTGCCACACCTTCGACCTTGGCATCATACTTCCAGAGTGGCGCACAGTCAATGAACTTGGCAACATACCTGAACACGCTCTCCGAGTTATTGTCCGGCCTATCGCACCCCAGCGAGCTCAACGCTGCGTTCGAAGCCTTCGATGACGGCGATGATGGGCAGATCGATCTCGCAGAGCTGAAGGACGCCCTTCTGCATACGGCACCCGAGCCAGGAGAAAGGAAGCTTACAGAGCGGGAAATCGACATGGTAGTCGAGGGGTTCAGCGGGCGGCGAGCCTTTGGCAAGGGCGGCAAGGGACTGAACAGAGGCGAAGTCTTCCGGTATGAAGAATTTGTTGCTAGCGTGACAGGTGGTGGTAATGGGGGCGAGAACGGAGCTAGCACTGTTGCTCAGGGTTGATGATCGGAAGGGGTCATGGAATCAGGGGTTTGGCATGTATGGAGAGACTGGCGTTAGTGTATTACCATATTGAACGACTGTCAACGCAATTATTCTATCTTTGCATCACCAATGTGGTTAGATATGGAGATACAGCGCTGCAGCGTTTTGAATATGGTAGTGACTTCCCCAACAGCACTACTTTCAAGCCTATTCCTTTAGTATGGAACTATTAAGAGTATTCAGCCTCTACTAGTCGAATCTCTTCTGTCGATGAATACCGCTTCCTTAGGTGTATAAAGGACCAATGTTTTTGGACAGGTCGATACAGTATGGCATTTTCGAATTTATGTCTATGACGTAACAACACATGGCACTAGCGCTAGGGAATCCTCATCTTCCTCAATAAACAAACAAACACTCGAAACCTCGAACTGCGATGATAACGCACGTTAACTCGCCAAGCTTTGTTTGCTCATTTGGAACTGCGATGATGCACACGACAGAGTCCAAGCGATGACACACAGACTCCTCTCCAAACCCCCAAGCCAATGTCGCACCCTCATCCCCAACCCTCCGCACCCATGCCCCCACCACGCATAAATATCATTGGCGCCGGCATCGCTGGCCTAACTCTCGGACGGTGCCTCGTCAAACGCGGTGTTTCAGTTTGTTTGTTCGAGAAAGCACCTTCGGGATCAAGACATAATTATGGCATAACTCTGTATGCCTCCTCGTACCGTCCGCTATTGGACGAGCTGGGTATCGATGAGGCGACGTTCAAGAGGCGGGTAGCTGTTGATAGGAATATAGGTGGCTTTGGAGTAATAGATGCAAGGCGAGGGGACGGCGCCAGTTTCCGAGCGAATAGAGGGAAACTCGAGCATCTTCTCCAAGAAGGGCTTGATATCCAGTGGGGCAAAAACTTATTTAACTTTGAGGAGATTGGACAAAAGTCGATAACGCTTTGTCTGCGAGCAGGAAGGAGGATATGGAGTAAGTGTACGGTTGCGGCTGATGGTCCGAATTCCATTGTTCGCAGACTGCTGTTGCCGGAGGAGAAGCTGACGGTGCTGCCGTTTGTTGTATTTAATGGGAAGAGATCTGTTGAGCGTGAGCGGTTTGAGGAGGTGTATGCTCCAGCGATGAAAATTTCAAACGTCATCGAGCTAAAAAGGGACGACGTACTACTCCAGATTTCTATCAACAACCACGGAGCTGAAGATGGACGTGTGAGTATAAGCTGGACATACTCCCGCCCCGCGCTCACAAACTCGCCCGATCCGCTCCATAGGCCCAACAGGAAGGCAGGAGAAGCGGGGCACATCCCCTCCGAATTCTTCGACGAAATAGCCACTCTGAAAACCTTACCGCAGCCCTTCGCAGAAGTCTTCAAACCCGACGCCATACTGCAAGGAAGAGTTCTCCACTGGCTCATGCGAACCTCTCTCACCCCACTCCCCTCTCTCAAAGATCTAGCTGAGAAGCATGTGTACATGATCGGCGAAGCCGTGCACGCTGAACCCATCCTCGGAGGCGAGGGCGCCAATACGGCGATCGTGGATGGAATGCAGCTCGCTGCATGTATCGCTGAAAACCGACCAGAAGGAATTTCAGCCTGGTACGAATCGAGGTATCCAGCATGGGAGGAAAGTGTGAGGAGAAGTGAGAGGGCGATTAAGGAAATGCATGGGAGTGAGAAAGCTGTACTGTAGTCCCGCTTTTAACAGAAGCAGAACTTTAGACTCCTTCTGTGTCCATCTTCTGTCCAAATGATCCGATAACTCAAATCCATCAACCTATTCAAGAAACAATTGCTGGTCCAAACCAAACATCCTCTCCAATACCCACAACCCGAAGCCAACCGCCCAACCAATACTACCAAAAAGGAAAGAATAAAAGGAAAACGTGGGACTTGAGCCCACAACCTTGAGGTTAAGAGTCTCACGCGCTGACCAATTGTGCCAGTCCGGCCTACTAGGTGAATCATATGACTTTTCCTCGCTCTTAGGGTATATATAGTATTATTTTAAGGACCGTACTAAGAGAATAAGAAAGGGGAACATGGAGGAAAGAGGCATTCGGGTGACTGACAAGAGGCGTATTGAGGTGTAGTGTATTAGCTTTACTACGTTGTGTAACGTTCGCGACGGGATACGCCTGCGGGGAAGCAGGTTTGGGAAGCGCTGCAACAGGCAGCGCTTCGAGCAGAACGAACGACGAATTTACGTTACATCCGATTCCCTAGGATCGTTATGCTTCATAACTTTTCTTCCTAGTCTTTTATGAAGCGTCTTTCAAAGCCCGGTTCTCGATAGCATGTAAAGGCTATCTATCTCTGGTTATTATAGTTCTATTGATACTTTACTTAAGACTTGATACTTGAACTTGCCAAATTTCGTAATGGGCAAGGTAATGGTCGCCTAAAGTAGCACCGCCCAGTAACAGGTTATAATAAGAGCTTTTGAGCAACTTGCGTTGACTTGCTAAGCTTTATTTACTTATTTAGAAGACTTGATACTTTCCGCCTCCTGTAGTAGTAGCCGAAATTCCTGCTCTAGGCCAAAGTAGTCCTAGTACGACGCACCTTCTATAACTCAGCCCCAGCCCAGCCTGATGACCTTGGACCGACTGTGTCTGCGAAACCATCTCCTCCCGAGCTGTTCTCTGCTGGAGACTACTTGATGTCTATTTTATGTCTCCATGATGGTGATGCCGGCTTTCGGATTCAGCGTGGGCGACTTCATCGCCGCCATCGGTACTTCCTCTTCCGTCGCAAGGCTACGAGATACAACTAACAGCCTCGGCAGCGCTGTGCACCAAAGTCGCAAAAGCACTGAAGCAGGCTGGTGGAGTAACATCCGAGTACCAGCAGGTCATTATTGAAATCGAAGGTCTCCAGGATGCTCTCACTCGGCTCGCCGCCTTGGAGCCAACGGAAAGCAATATCGATCATGTGAACGCTATCCGGAGGATGGCTCTCGCCTGCAGTCTTCCCTTGCGAGACTTTCTAACGAAGATGGAGAAATACGAAGCTGCCATGTCTCCATTCGCAACCAGAAATTCGTTTCGTTCAACTGGAAAGAAAGCGCAATATGCTGTATTCATGAGCGAGGAGGTAAAGACCATAAGAGCCATGATATCTGGTAAGGTCATCAGTATCAACCTGCTGCTAGCGACGCATGCATCCGAGACCCTATCGCGAACTGAGGCCCGACTGTCGACCAATCAGGAGAATATCCTTACAAGTCTTGAAGAGGCCAAAGACGGCATGAGCAGAATGCGCCAAGACTTTGAGCGCATGAGCGCAGCAACCACCACTACGCAAGAACAGCTTCGGCAAGACACATCGGACTCTACATACCAGTTGACAGAACAACTCAACCAAATTGGAAATGATACCGTGAGTACGAAGCGAAGCATATCTGCTCTGACCACCGGAGTCGCCTCCATTTCCACCTCACTAACTGGGCTCTGCGGTTTGGGGACCCAAGCTTTAGCGATCTTGCGCGCCTTCCCGGCTGAGCTGCAAACGCTACTCCAGACCGTATTGCGGACAAATATGCAAATGTACGCTGTTTTGCTTGAGGTGCATCGCAAGATAGGCGCGCCTCCAACACTTGCACTGGAATCCAACATTCGCATCGAAGATGCACTTGGGGAGATTCGAAGTTTACCATTCGAGTGGTTCCGACATTGGGAGGTAAGAAGAGTATACACCTTCACATGCCAGTTGCTAATTTCGACAGCCATTCGAGGGCCTCCTTCGAGCTGAATTCAAGAACAGATTGGGGGCCGAACGAGTAGAAAGGGGCGACTTCCGTCTCGTACATGCGAAGCGGCCGACCATTTCGATGGATGAACATAACTGGTCTCAGACCATAACGGCAGGCGCGGACATTCTCATGCTCATGCTAATCACTGATCTCGCTTGTCAAGAGTCCTCATGCCCTAGACAATCTTGTAATGGCAGAACAGCCTTGCAAGCCCAAAAGCAGGCTATGCTGACCTGGTGAGTTTTGGCGAACCTCTTCAATCTCTCAGCCGCAGCACAGGGGATGCACATTGCCTTGAATCAAAGGAAACACGCATGTGGTTCTTAACCCCCTTTCAAGATACGCTGTTAACATTGTTGCAGTCCCGAATGCGGCCTTCGATTCATACCGCAGCTAATACTACCAGAGAGCACGGAAGCGAGCTTGGTCGAACAGCTCCAACTGGAGGAAGACGCGAGGCTATTTGGAATGCGCAATGAACCTCGTAATCAGAACACTGGCAATTTGCAAGTGAGAGAGGGTTCGACGCGTGAAGATAACGAAGGATTTGCAGAAGATATCAAGTTTGCGGAAGGTGGAAGACCGAGCATCCATCACAGCTCCACGATAGAATCGATCTCAGAGCAAATGACCGGAAAATCGGAGGTTTCTCCTGATGCCACAAGCCTTCCACCTGAACCACCGATATATGCCTGGCTGGCCGACACAGAGGCTCCCAAAGATCCGGACTCCGTACTCAAGTGGCGCGAAGCAGAGGAAGACCGTCGGGCCAAGCGGCAAGAGCAAAATGCTCAAGACCTCGAAGTGTTCCGTAACGTTGAGATTGCCTTTCCGTTGAGGGATGACGTACCAATATGTGATGCTCAGGATTCTGCACACCTGTCACACAATGCGCCCGATAAGCCTGCAACTGGTGCGTATATGTTGTATCGCAACATTCTAGATCAGTATCCCAAACTAGGAGACCCACTCGCATGGCGGTTCGCGAATAAGAATTGGAAGAGAATGGAAAATTTCCAGAGAAAACAACGCGCAAGTCCGGCACCCACGCCAATCCAGATTGAAGCTCTTGATAGGCGGATGAGCAATCCATCTGAAAGCTCGGATGCAACCTCGAAAGATGATGATGATGCTCCATATCTCCATCCCTTCGCTCCAGGTAGCAAACCTGGGGAAAAGCGAAAGATATGCTCACTCCCACCCCCGCCAAGGTTAGTGCCTGACCACAGTTCGGATTCTAGCTATAGTGCCAAGTGCCACTTGTGTCACAAAACCATTCATCTTCGTCGCAAACGAGATTGGAGGTATGTTTTTTTTTCTCAGAAAAATACATTTCGCGCTCACTTACATCCCGCCAGCAACCATGTCATGGACGATCTACTTCCGTATATGTGCCCCATTGCAGAATGTGTAGCTGGAGACGACATGTATGCCCGTAGACGAGATCTTTCGGCACACATAAAGCTCTGTCACCCTCTTGAGACGTGTCGCCAATGTCACTTTTGCGGGAAAGAGGCGAATTCTGACCCGATCAAGCATGTAGGACATCACATGGAGGAGATTGCTTTCGGTGTTCTATCTACATCTTACGAGGAATGGTCCTACGATGATACCGATTCAGAAGTATCGACCATATCAGTGCGTTCCGCGTCGCCGCCTCCAAGAAAGAAGAAAGAGCAGCGATTCTTTTGCACAGGTTTTCCGCCTTGCCAGCTAAGCTTTACTAGGAGTGAAAATCTGGCGAGCCATATTCGGTACGTGTTTAGAAACAGCTTGAACTACATACTAACAGATATATAGCGAGCATACGGGCGAAAAGCCTTTTCAATGTTCTTGTTCTCGACGATTCTCGCGTCTTGAGTACCTCCAACGCCATGCCGAGACAGTCCATGGAAATGAGGTGCCGCTGTCTGAGTTGAGTCCAAGAGCAAATCCACTTCAGGACCAGTCAAACAGGCGTAATAGTTTTGCTGATGCCTTGGATGCCTCCAGGGGCATGGTATCCCTTTCGCAGGCAGATATAGTCCCACGCAACATCTATGGCTCCGCCTCGGATAACCATCACTCTGTGGATGAATGGGGCATCCCATCGACGTCACACGTCGAGGACAATTATTGGACCCGCAGCTCTCATCCCTCGTCGTCCGCTTCTAGTATCAACTCGCAGCTACGGTATTCAGTCTCAGACTACTTGCATTCATCGCCCGCCGCCACTGGAACTCTGCCTCCCGCGCCGCAAAGTATGATGGGCCAGTTTAGCTCCAAAGTCTCATCGACTACCCAGAAGAAGCACAAATGTAAAATATGCGACAAGCGCTTTACTCGTCCGAGTTCATTGCAGACACACATGTACAGCCACACTGGCGAGAAACGTAAGTGCTTCAAATCTCGTCATCGAAGTTCTAGCTAAACATGTTATTTATAGCTTTCGCATGCGAGGTTGAGGGCTGTGGTCGCCATTTCTCCGTTGTGTCAAATCTCCGCCGGCACCGAAAAGTACACAAGAACGATGACGCGCAGGATTATCCATCGCCGGACGAGTAGCGCCGCTGATCACTAAAGAGTGACGGGGCAAAGAACAACAGTCGCGATGAAGTAGGAGGCGTGGATGCAGTCAGTGCCAGTGACGCGATCGATATTGGATCCGCCATTGCCGTATCGTCTAAGGGTTTGCGCTGGGACCATTGATGCCGACGCCTGGATGTGAAGAGTCGATGCGGCGGTACAGGTGGCAAAGTCGAGAGGGGTGCACATGCGGACGCCATTTCCCGTGCGACGAGGCTGAAAATTAACAAAAGCAAAGGAAGAGGGCGTTCACAGCCGGGGGAAGCGAAACCCTTTTCAGTAATTCAAAAGTCCATCGTGACTTGTTGCGAAGTGCATTTAAGTGCATAACGCAACTGAGTGGTCTCCTCACCGGTGCGTGCGCGGCCCTGTGGGCGATTGCAGGCAAGAGCAACCACGCTTGACATGGGTGGTTCTCGACATGCGCGGCTGAACAACGAAGTAATACATCGAATGTAGGTAGGCTACAAACAGAGACGAATGGTCGCATGGGTCCCAACACTATACCTAGCCCCGGCGTAGGGGTTTAGATACGATAGTTAAATTACCTAGTGGGAGCGCTTCGTCTACTAAGCACTACTTAGGTGGGGTCCTGTCTGAATGACTATAATACTTAAAGAATCATAATACGCT